GATACTTGGCACCACTATTTTCCAAAAGGAAGACTCCACCGAGCGCCATCGGTTCCTCTCCACGACCATAGCGTGACTGGAGTGCTTCGTGAAGGAATTTGCCGATTGAGCCATCACACAGTCTGCGCTTAGCTATGACCTCAATAACCTGAAAAATAAGTTGACACATACACAAGGAAAATTTAAGACTGTTACTTAAATGCAGGCAGAGATAACATTCGGCAAGATATGGTTTGGTAGCCCCACCCGATGGACACAATACTGTTGGGGTTGTGGTTAAGGGTTAGGGGTTAGGCTTTAGAACTAGGGGTTATAGTTGGCGGTTAGGATTAGGGGTTAGCACAACTATTTCTCAACCATTCAAAGTATAACCGCGCATTCCCAATGGCTTTTCTTTTGCATACAACTACTTGGTCTTGTCGCCTATGCGTTCCCCGGCCCCACCTACAAGAACCCCTATTACCACCGGTCCCGTATTAGAAGTGACTGTGGTTTGTTTCCTTCAGGCGGGGCTACGTAACCACATCCGACCCAACGTTCTATTTTTATCCGAGTTTATTTACAACGTAGTGGCACAGAAAGAGTTTCGGTCTCGTCATAAAGCTTATCTTGATTCTATGGGACTACCTTGCTGTGAGTTTCCGCAAACACCTCAGGTGTTCGACTTTAGTACTTTGTAGAAGTAATGAGCGGGAAATAAAGCTTCGTATAGCAGTCTGAAGTTATTTATCACTGTGAATTAGTGTCATTTGAACAAGACCCTTTGAAATATATCGTGATCTTTTGAAACTTCAGCAAAATAAGGACAATATGTTCGTGTCTGATGAACCCAATGGCAGACAGCACAGGCTTTTGTTACAGGCACTGTGACGTGATTTTCACCCAGGGACATTTGAGACCGACGGTTGAAGCGATCCCACATTCATTTTGAGTTATCAAAAGGTCCAACCGAGAACTTATGGGTTAACCCGTTAAGATAGGTTATGTGTAATCGGAGAGGGACATTAGACGAGACATATTGGCAAGTTTCACATGCTTCTGATGCACAAGTCCGCGCTTGCCCATGTGTTTTGTGTCACCACAATATCTGCGCAGAACGAACTGCACCCGCGAAAATGCCGTGAGAGACAAATAAGAAGTCGGATAGGAGGAAGCGGGGGTGGGGGGCCATGCAAAAGAAGGAAGGCTCAACGGTGCTTCGTATACACGGCCAGAAAACTAGTTGGCTAGTTTATCAAAGAACAAGCCCACAGATGTCATGCATACCAACAGAACGACTAACAATTTCGGGAATTGCATTTTTCCTTGCCGATTTCCTAGTCAGTACATTTAATAAACTGTTTTAATTTTCAAAAATCGGCCTGTCGGTTTTGCCCATGTTTTGATTATTTTGATCGATCATAACCTAATTAGTGAGTCCGATCTTAGACATGCATGGTGGATAGCGCTGTTATTGAAAGCAATCAGCAAATTTGCGAATACTAGAATAGCTTTCGCCCAGCATGCACTGAAGGAGAGTTGAGTAAGCGGCTCAGAAGATCAAGCGGAAATGCCAACAGATACGTCCTGTGGTAGTGCTGGTGGTCACAGGGTTAGCCAAGGCAATCTGGTTAAAGCCTTCAGCTACCTTGACCCAAGCAGAACACCACGAGTTTCCACCCGCAACCCCGCGCATCACTTTACAGCGAAGAAACAGAAACACATTCCTCCGACACATTTTCCCGCCACTTGGCCTCAGTATTAGATATTCCTTCGCAAAAGTTTTACATGTCTAGACAGTTATCAGTCAGTGACCCTAATCGGTAATGGCATTGGTCTTCTTCATCTTTCCCTTCTCCCGGAGTAAATCTCATCGCAAAAAATTAGCCAAAACAATGAGACACGTCAACAAGTCCGCATTGAAGCTGTACACGTGCGTTTGTAGTCCCCAGTCTAGAAAACGGCGAGCATCCCGGTATATTCACTATTAGGTTAAAAATGTCATCTCAGACGTAATGGGGTAGGTCTCTAGTGGGATATAATCGTTAAAAACATTGCATGCGACCAAGCTGCAGGAAGTACTAGAAGGCAGTGGACCAGTCAGTCGGACCTTGGTTAACATTTTGAATTGAGTTATGCTACTTTGTCAGAGATAATTGGTAAGTGAGCTTATTCGACCAGCAACTTTTAGGAATAAGACTTTGCTGTGTCAGTAGAGGAGAGGGCGGATTGTGATAGAAGGTGCGTCTCTGACGTAGACAGCTTTCTCATCATACTCTGCGAGTGATGTCGGGCAAACGACTGAATTTATATGCGTCCCAACGCTTCGTTGGCTATCAGCCATCATAAGGTGGTGCATCTCATTTTTGTAAAATATATAATTCTCTAACGCCGTGGAAACTAAAGCAGAGGAATTTACGGGGGGTGTACCGTATAAAGCTGCAACTGGCCACCCATTTTGATAAAAGGTACCTATATTTAGTGTCAAAGGTGAGGTTGATTCAATTTCTTCCTAAGGGAAACTTTCTATCCCGTTTTACAACAGCCTCGGATTTATGCCAGTGAAAAATTAAGAGGAAATAGCCAAACAAAATACCCCTAGTGGAGAATGTAGATTGGTAATGAATCTGGCGAAGTTGCAAACACAAACAAAACTTATTGTGTTTGCAATATTGGGGTGGATCCGCTAGTGAGGGATAAGCACAAAGGGCATTTGGATCGGTATAGCAGTCTTCAAGTTTTAAGGTAGAGCTAATGAAATGAATACAGGGTATATGCCGAAATATAGTTTAGTAACACTGTTGACAAGAAAAGGCTTCAAGGAGTGATTATTTGGTATAACAAATAATTACGATCAACGAACCCAGCCCTCATTTCCTTCGGTGACGAAAAGTTGGGCACTTGAGTGAAACTTCGTATCCGTCGCCTTTATAAGGTTCGTAGCACTGCCCTATAAATAGAACCATCAAATGATTGCTTGAATAGACGCCGGTAGGGCAAAATAGCAGGTAAAACATCTGCTGCGAAGTGTTACACGAAAAAGTGTCTGAGCTTCATATAACATGAATAAACGCAGGACCTATAATGATGTAGTATAAAAATTATCGGATTTTTCGGTTTGGCCGATGAAGATTACAAATCTACTGCAAAAAAGACAGCTGCAGTGTGCTCGAATAAGTACCACAGTACTATGAACCGATCGTCAAGCCTGAAAACGGCGACGAGTCCGAGTTCTTAAATTAGATTTAAATATTTTTAGTAACCTCGAGTCCGGCAAGGAAAAATCGAATATTTTTCGACGTAAGACGGTCACATTTTATGCACAGCACAAACGAGGACTTTGACGTACAAAAAAGCTTGAGGGCTAACTGCGACGGTCAAGATTAGCCAGTGAAAGTTTTAAAACTTAATCGACTGACTTTGACTGCAATGTGCTAGACAGAGAAAATTTACGAAATCAGGAGCGTTGCGACTAAAATATATCCAGCGTGGAGCATTTCCAGTAAGCCCAAAAATATAACCGGATTGACGTTCACAGGTGTTGTCAAATTACGGAACGAAATTTAGACGTTTATATTGCTTTGGGCATATCTCCATGACTATCGTATATCAACATGCTGTCAACCATCGAATACTGACACTGATGTCAATAAAAATATTCAAAACTGCATAAAATTTTGATTCAGCACGCCTGGGTATGATTGTCTGATACCGTAAAACAAACCGGGAATTGGTATTGCAGAATCAGTTAAGTTCGAAAGAACCTGCTTTTGAACATATACGACCTGCACTGAAGCCAAGTTGTATACTGCCTTTAATTGAGAAAATAGGGCTTTATTTTTGACTTTCGGTCAATTATTCACAAGACTAATTATAGAAGATAAAACAGTTTAACCTGTTTAATGCGTCTTCTGCAAAAAGACGTGGTTATCATTCGTAAGTCAGTAAAAGTTGAAGTTTTCCGGTGTGTAAACTGGAGGATTTTTCCTATTAATATGCCCAAATCCCTTCATTCAAATTAGATATTCTAAAGAAACGAATTCGAATTCAAAGGCATCGACACCATCCCAATTACATTATAAACAAAACCATCTAAAGGTCAAAATATAAACTTACATTTTTTTCGCTATACGCGTGCAGCGTTCGATTACAAGAAATGGAATCATTGCAGTAACACAATTCGGCCACCATCTAAAAAACGCATTGCTGTAGATTTTAGACCATCTTAAAGTAAGTAATAAAATAAAATGGAGTCTGCATCGGGGACATGACAATGGGAAAGGGTTTAAATCATCGGTAGAGATAATTAGAACATCGAACCAAAAAGAGAAACCATGTAATTGTGGAGGGCAAAGGGACGCAAAATCTGTCGAAAAAACTAATGAAGGCTACAACAATTCCCCTACAGATCCAAGTTTTTGTCATTGCACTAGCATTTTGGGCAAACTACGCCGAGTATAGTCACAATGTTTTTAACGCCTGAAAAAGTTTCCGTCAGGTAAAGTAACCAATCTAAAAACACAGCGCAGTGCGTTCTGCGCACTTTCATGTTAAAAGAATGTAGAGATGCCTACAATCTGCGTATAAAATGGGTGGTTCAACCAATAAATGTTTTAACGTGGGATAGGGGTCAGTAAGGAAAACTGAGTTCTACAGCTTCTGGTTTCGTCTTTTGACGAAATGCTGTCATGGCTTTCACCAAAAGTAAGACGACGACACTATGGAGAAAAAGTATAATCGACGCGTATGAAGCGCACGCGTACTTCCGTAAGCTTTACTTTACTTAGCGAATATAGTTGGCATCCCTTTAACTTAGAAGCATTACGTCCAAAATGTAGTGATTTTCAACTGATCCTTTTAAAAACCAATAAGGTAATTACGAAAAAGCTGACGAGCTAATTCATGTTTTTGGGGTTTAATAAGCCTCCGTCGGATTGGTTTTGAATGTTAATTGTCTTAGGTTATCACAAGGAAAAGATCCTAAAGTAATGCGGCTAGGAAAAACGGTAGTCAGTGTTGAATGTTTGAGTATACTAAATGAACGTGATTTAAAGTATCTAGACGTTTTTCAGTTTACTTTGGTTTTTTGTTGGGATGTCCGATATAGCGAATATCAGTGCTCTGGCCAAAACTATAAAAAATCCATCCAACGGAAGTTAAAGAGTGAACAGTCTGTAATGGTCATTCTCGATAACGATCTGCGAGTCAGGCAGTCAATAGTTGGGAGCGTTTGCTTAGCACCCATAAGTCTGCATTACGACGCAAGTCCAGGGATAAAAACGCCACTGTTAAGTAATTAATATTAGCAAAGGACATTTGCATCAGATAATGATCTGAAAGGTGAACGATTAAACGCCATCTAGATAGTCACTGTCCCTATAATTAAAAATGGCAACAAAGGGAACTGGGCTTTTCTTGCGCAAAACACTCAAGAAACTTTGGCTTGTCCGCCTTGGTTTTTACGAGAAATATCGCGAATTACCTAATGAAGACGAAGTAGTGTGTTGGCTTTTGCGTAGCAGAAGGGTAAACTGGTCCTCTACTCGGTACGGATAAGCTTAGAACAAGCACTCGACATAGAAGATTAGTACTCAGAGGAATTTGCCCATTATTAGTAAAAGCCTTGGAGATGCGGGCTTTGATCGTTTACAAAAAACCACCGAGCTGAAGTTTCAGAGATATATTATAATAGAGCGATTCCTAAGCTCTCATAAGTATAAACCACCACTTGACGCCCAAAAACGCTAAGCTAAATAATTAAGATATCTCAAATTAGCGGAAAAATGCTGAGCGTAGCTCGAGATATATTTTAAAAATTCAATGTATATATTTAAACCGATTATTCGAAAATCCTAAGAATTCGCACCGTTTTCATTGTCCGCACTATAAAAATGGTAAAGCAGTCGTCATTTAAGTCGCAATGATATAAATACAGCGAAATGCACCACTATATTTCAAATGCTTATTTTTTCTCTAAGGTTATTTCGGATTGGATCATGTGCTTACTTGCTAAGGACAGTAGAGCTCCTCACTTAAGGACGAAGCATTTGATTTTAGTATACTTTCCAGACGCAAAAGCTCGAAAGTTACGGTCTTTCAAAATAAAATTCTAATTTATGCAGCCTTAATCTCTCTTTTATCGGGTAAAAAGGCCTAATTATTTTACATGAACTTATAAGCTTATAAAGATCATGTATAAATGTAACCAAATTTATACACAGAACGTTGCTCATAAATTCTCGATTACTCATTACGGACTCCGATCCTTCCGCGGTGTCAAGTGTATGCATGTATGCTGTGTATAAATTTGGTTACATTCATACAAATGGTTAAAAAACCAACAAACGAACAGCGGCACTACCTCGCAGGGATGTCCAGTTGTCGGGTATGGGCCAGTTCCGCCGCCAAGGATTTCTCCTGCCCGAACCTTACAGGCCTTGGCAACGTCCATTAAATCATATTGCTTGAAGATAATCGGTGAACATAACTTACCTTTTGACAGCTGATACTGGGTAGTATATAATCGTGGCTGCCAACGCAAGCGATTGAATTCTCACCACTTATTCCTGAAGTTGAACAAAGTGCAGGTAAATACTTCGAACAAATATTTGTTTAAATATTTGACAGTAATAAATTAAACCCACCTGATCTTGGTAAATTAAAAGGTTTTCTGGTTAAATTAGGACATTCGACAACCTTTGCGTCAACAAAGCCAAAGCATGGTTCAAGTCCACGCTTGAGTTCTAGTGGAAACTCACAATATATTAATAATAAATCAACCTCTAGCTATCTCGACAATATGATCTCTCCGTACGGGAAATATGGTTGTTCGTGTCTTCTTTATCATGCAATCAAATAAAGAATTTGGATCTTTTTCGAAGCGCTTTGGAAAGGGTCCGTTCACCTGCATGATTTTAATCAGTAACCAAGGCTATCGACTTTTGTAAAAGTACAAAAATCTAATTATGAGTTGGTAATTAGTAAAACAACAATATTTAGAACTCACGGTGGTCGTTACTACATAGCCAGACGCTATCCCAAGGCATTTTCGAAATAATCGTTTTTTTAAGTGCCAAGCAAAGCCCTTTAGAATGTCTAAACTGAACAAATGGATAGTTATGTCAGGGCGCCCTAAGCTATAGGCAGACCCGAAAAGCAACGAAAATTGGGCTGTGTTCAGTATGGAAAAAGAATTCGATCGCCAATTATGCGACTATCTTGTTTCGCAAAAAATGGATGCAGAACGGGTTGTGGCAAATCGACGGCCGGGCGAGGCCACATGTGCGTTTTCTCGAGGGTCGTCTACCCGAGTGACAGCGGAACAATCAACAGAGCGCCTTGAACAGGGACATGTTTTTGCTAACCTTGAAGTCATCCAGTCAGCTTTAATAACTGTGCCTGACTGTGAAAATCCTTTTCTTCGAAAGATAATAGACAACTTATTATGGAGTAGCACATAAAGTATAGATAATAGACAAATATCCCACAAATGCGGCAAAGACCAGCGCACAATGGAAGATGTAGGCGATGATTAAAATTCACTGAGCATGACATGCTTCCATAAAAGTTATCATATTGCAGAAGGGGCGATGTCGCTCACGAAAAACCGACGATGCGAATCTTTAGTTTCATGAGCTTTCACTGTATGTTCGCTCGTTTTTTATTGTGCGTGCATTAACCGTTTGTCATTTTTCGGACTACAAATGTATAAATTTATGATCGGGTGTATATGGGATGCACCATATGGAGTATAAGGCCAATGATGCCCGGTAACCATTTGTTGCATCCCGCTTCGAATTTCGCGGTTCCATTCTATTGCGTATTTCATATCCAAACATTTCTAAATACATATCGCATGTTTTTTACGGTTCACAGATTTCTGCAGACAGTGGCCTTTTGGTTCGGGACAGTTAGTCGCCATCCCAAAATGTGACTTGGTTATTCGTTGTGACGACAAAGAATCCCTGACTATTATTTTTGCCTTCGCTGATCGAATGCAGGGGACAAGGATCGGGTAAGATCGGTACCTCACTCCATGACAGGGCAACAAGTGTTAATTCTTGATGTGGTAGGATAAATGCTGCCGCCACTGACTTCTGAGCTGCTTGTCCGCTCCCAGTTAAGATATAGACCGTTCTAATGTTTTAGGAAACCTCTCGTTGTTAACTATCGGAGTTTGGCAGACTGATTGGCCGTGACTAGTGGATACCGAAAGATTAAATTACTGTTCCATTGTTTATATTATGACGATATCCCCTTTGGCGTTGCAGTACTCATTTAATGCGCAATTCGCTTTATTCTAGGAGAGGACGAGACCGAGCGTTCTGGGCCACCTGCATGAAACATTTGGGTGTGGAAAAGGCCAGCTTTGGGTTCATGTGAAGGTCGTATTGTGCGCTCACTTGCTTGCAGACGTAGACTACGCCTAACGTCCATTAATTTGCGCCGAACTCTCACAGGTCTCTCCTCGAAGCTATGCTTTGCGCAGTTGCCATACCCCGGTAACAGCCTCCACCGGCGGGACAAACCAGATACCCGTGGATGTATCCTCCAACACGGTACTTATGCCTTCCCCCTTCCTTCACCACCCTCTGCTTCCTTCATCTTTCTCGCATTCCTCCTCCTCCTCCGCCTTTTCTACTCCCCGCTCAACTCAGCCTTTCTTCTCCCCTCTTGGCCAGTCTCTCTTGATGGCCAATTCCGACGCAGAAAAGAAGGAATTCTATTAGGACCTGCACGCATTACTGGCGACTGTGTCGAAGGCGATTAAGTTGATTGTCCTTGGTGACTTCAGTGCCCCCGTCGGCACAGACCGTACTGCCTGGCGTGAAGTGCTGGGCGCCCATTGTCTGAACGGTTCCAATGACAACGCCTGCTCCTTCTAAGAACCTAAAGCGAACACCGACGCATCCTGACCAACACTAACTTTCGCATCCCGTATTGAGAGGAGGCCATCTGGATGCACTCTCGATCGCGGCACTGTCACCTGCTGCACTCTGTTATCGTCCGGAGGCGAGATCAGCGGGACTTGTCGGCGCCAAAGGCGATCCCGGGTGTCGACGGGCGGATTGACCATCGCCTCGTCATCTCCGAGATGCGGATTCGCCTACAGCCCCACAGGAGACCTCAAGGTAAGCGACCCCCAGGTATGCTGAATATTGCATGGTAGTCTTTTCCTGCTCACTGTCTCCATTTCAGCAATGAGCTAGCTCAACGGCTGGCCAACCGTCCGGTCGCTGTTGGTGCCGCCGCCGACGCGGGCGTCTCCGTGGAGAACCAATGCTGTCAAATTAGGGACACAGCATTGTATGTCCCCGGCCGCACACATTACGATGCCAGAACCAGTTCGACGACAACGATGTTGCAATCGGCAGTCTTCCAGCTGCGAAGAACCGACTGTACAATGCCTACGTTAACCGCCATACTGCTTCAAACAAAACATACATCTCCCGAAGTTGCCGCCTTATGCATTAGTGGTTAAGGGAGATGCGGTACGTCTGGACGGCTTGCAAGGCCCAGGAAATCAAAAAGGTTTACGGACCGCAAAAGTGGAAGAAGTTCATCACCGCGATCAAGGCTGTCTACGGCCTCACAGGTAAAGGACCCGCCCTACTTCTTAACGCTGACGAAACCACTGTACTCATTGAAAGGATACAAATGCGAAAACGATGAAGGCAGCACTTAAGAGGCGTCCTCAACAGTCCCTCCACCATCTCGGATGCCGCCATCGACCGGGTGCCATAGGTGGAGACCAACGTCGACCCCGACCACTCGCCTTCTCTCCACGAAACCTTCAGGACCGTGCGGCAACTCTCCAGTGCTCAAGCGCCAGTATCAGACGTGCCACCTGCTGCGATTTATAAGCACGGAAGCCCCCAACTCATGAATCACCTGACAGCACTCTTCCAGAAAATGGGGCGTGAAGGGCAAATTTCTCATGATTTCAAGGACGCCAAGAGGAAAGGGAACCGCCAACTATGCAACAACCCCTGCCGGATCTCGCTTCTCAACATCGCCGGCAAAATCTTCCCTCACCTTATACTCAACTACCTCAATAGCCATCTAGAACAGGCACTTCTACCCAAAAGTCAGTGTGGCTTTTGCCGTCATCGTGGCACCGTCGACATGATTTTCGCCACCCGCCATCTACATGAGAAATATCGGCAGACGTAGATCCATTCTTATTCTGCCTTCACGAATCTGACTGAGGTCTTCGACACTGTGAATTGCGAAGGAATGCGGTAAATCCTGCAGAATTCCGGCTGTCTCGAGAGATTCACTCAGATGACGCGCCAGCTTCACGATAACATGACGGCGCACGTCACGGACAATGGAGTCGTATAAGAGGCATTCATTGCGACCAACGGAGTGAAGCAGGCCTGCGTGCTTACGTTTATACCTCTCTGTCTCATGCTCGTTGTCATGCTTGTGGAGGTCTGCCGTGAGGAAAGCCCTGGGATCCGCGCCACCGAAAGAATGGACGGCAGAGGACTAGCTCCACAATCAGCGGCGGGTGCACTTCAAGTCGCGTGTGTTCACAACCACCGTGCATGATTTCTCCTTCGCCGACGACTGCGCCCTGAACGCAACCACAGAAGGGGACATGCAAAGGAGCATAGATCGGCCTAAACACTCTCATGCAGAAGACAGTGGTTATGCACAAACCGTCACCCAAAACTGTCTAGCATGCCCCCACATCAACAGGGACGGCGCTCAAATGCTAGCCGTGGGCAGCTCCACCTAGCTGGACAGCACCCTCTCTCGCAACACCAAAATAGACGACGAAGTTGTTCGCCAGATCTCCCCAGTCAGCCATGGCTTTGGTTCAGTGCAGAATACCTTCTGAAGTCGTAAAGCTCCCCACCCCATCACCAAGCTCAAGATGTACATAGCTGTCATCCTCCCGACTTTGCTGTTTAGAGCGGAGACCTGGAAGATGTACAAGAAGCAGGCGTTTAGACACAAAAACTTGGACCTCAGTTGTCTTCAACGGATACTAAAGTTAAGGTGGGAAGAACAGATCTCGGACACGGAAGTACTGGAACAGACAGAAATCCTCGATATCAACTCCATGCGGAGACAACTGCAATTGCACTGGAGCAGCCACTTCATGAAAAACGGAAGACGAACAGCTACCCGAACGACTCGTTTATGAAGATGTCGACACGGGTTCTTGTCGACAAGGTGGTAAAGTCCGGCGCTACAATGTCACTGTGAGAACTTCCTTAAAACGCTCGCAGATCAGCCCATCCAATTAGAAAGACGTCGTCCGGGACAGATCGGGCTGGAGAAGGACAGTGATAATTGGCACAGTGATATACTGAGCTAACCGAATAACTGTCGCGAAAGCCAGATCCAAATCTCAAAAATTCCAACTGCCCCCAACTTTTAACAGTCCCCAACCTGCTTTGATGGGACCACGACGGGTCTTTAATAAAAATTATCTAAAAA